CAAGACACAGAGTCTCACCACTTCTAGGAAGACTGCTGAGCTCCTCAGAGCAGGTCTCTGGTCCTCAGCACCTCTGTATCATGTTCTGCAGCACAATCTCCAGGTTGGCCACCTACCTCCAGACTAACCTCTGAGATAAATGTGTACTTTTGCTGTGTATTTAATTTTGAAATAAAGAATACTTTGAAAACAGATACCCAAAAAATGCTAGAGTAGATTTTAAGTCTCCTCACCACACACACAAATGATTGATTTGTTAAGGCATCCAGATGTTAATTAGCTTGACTTAGCTGTTGCACAATGTATACATGCATCAAAATATCCAAATACCCTCAACTTTATCTGTCAATCAAAAGAACAATAAAAACAATGACTGCAGCTGAGTGTGGTGGTGCACACCTCTATTTGTAGCACTTTGGGAGGCTGAGACAAGAGGATCACAAGTTTGAGCCCAGTCTGTGAATATTAGTGATTTATCCAGAGCCTGTGTAAAAACTATAAATAAAAAAGGGTTGGAGATGTAGCTCAGTCAAAGACCATAGGATCATTCCTGAGCTATGAAAGTAAACTGCTTTATGGTAGAAAATTACTAACAAATTAATAATAATGGCCAATAAGAGAAAAGCCATGCCTGATGAGGACCTACCCACTATGTTGCCAAGGGGAAAAGGTGGTGTTATTATCTCACATGAGCACAGAACCCATAACCAAGGCCTTCATTCTCACTTGGACTTCAGGTAGCTGTGTTACAAAGTATTTTATATAAATATGTAGGGATATACATACATATATACATACATAAAATGGATGCAATTACTATTTTAAAAGTTTAAACCAAATACCTAGGCAGTCACTATCAAACCAAGATAAGTGGAATTCTTCCCTTCTTCAGAAGTTTTTAGGAGGTCCTTTCCTTTCAAAATCTCTCCTTGCTGGCATATCTTTTCAGTGCATATAATCATTTCCTTTTCAATTTAAAAGCTTTTCATCTGTGTATATGAATGCCTGACAGTGTATCTGCCATGTGTGTGTGTGTGTGTGTGTGTGTGTGTGTATAGTTTCTAGTTGTTTTCTTTAATAAAAGAAATGGCTTTTACTTCTGTCTCACATGAAGGAAGCGTACACACTTTCTATGTCAGTCCTGTATTAGCCAGTTCCCCATCACTGACTCTATATCTGGGAAAAACAACTTAAAGGAAAAAGATTTACTTTGGCTCATGGTTTCAGGGGTCTCAGTTCATGGTCAGCTGGCTCCCTTGTTTCTACACTGTAGTGAGGTAGAGCATTGTGAAGAAGAAAGTATGGCAGAGACAAGCTGCTTAGCTTGTGGCTGCGAGAGAGGGGGAGAGAGTGAGGCCAACCAGATACAGCCCCTAAGGTCACACCCAAGGGTCCACTCTCTTCCACAAATCCCTAGCTCCTGTTCCCATTGCCTCCCAATAATACCATCAAACTAGGACTTCCTCAGTGAAATGGTCCACGGGTGAAGTTAGAGCTGTTGTGGTGCAGTCACTTCCCAAACGTGCATCAGCAACCCAGCCTCGAACACAATGAGTCTTTTGGGGGACATAATTTTGTGGGTAGGAGATCCCACCCCAAACATAGCCATATTTCAATCAAGAAGAATGACAATCTGAAGATAGGAACTTTGAGTTTTGCACAAGTATAACAGCATTTCATGAAATCTCTGTACCCATGTCCTGCTGCTCGCGGCCAAGAGTTTCTGTAGTGTTACAGCTATGTCACTAGAATAACTGGGTTACATGTATCTTTAATGTTTGAAAGATGATGCCAAGCTCTTTTACAAACATGTTAAACCAATGTATTCTATCCATTTTGCATACTTCTGTCAACATGATGGTATCATCCTTTCTAATTTTTGCATATTGTGGTTTTAAATGTGTCTTTTCTTTATTATTAAGGTGAATAAATACCTCTTCATAGGTTTAGAAGTAATTTGGAGCCAGGTATGCTGGTACACATCTGTAATCCCAGCACCAGGTAACCTGAGGCCGGAGGGCTGTCATGAGTTCAAGGCCAGCCTGGGCTATGTAGTGAGTTCAAAGTCAGCCTAGACGACATATCAAGAACCTTCTCAAAAAGATGAAGAAGGAGAAGAAGGAGAAGGAGAAGGAGAAGGAGAAGGAGGACGAGGAGGAGGAGGAGGAGGAGGAGGAGGAGGAGGAGAAGAAGGAGAAGGAGAAGGAAAAGAGGAGAAGGAGAAGGAGGAGAAGGAGAAAGAGAAGAAGGAGAAGGAGGAGGAGGAAGAGAAGGAGAAGGAGGAGGAGGAAGAGAAAGAGGAGGAGAAGGAGGAGGAGAAGGAGGCAAAGGCGGAGGAGGAGGAGGAGGCAAAGGCGGCGGAGGAGGAGATGTTTGAATATTTTTCTACTTTGATCAACCTATTTTCCTAGTCTGAATATTTTCCACAAGTTCAGTTCCATAATGCCCATGGAAAATTTTTATTAGTTTAACATGGTCAGGTGCTTATTTCTAGATCAATCAGCCTCAGACTCTGTGGTAGGTCATTTTCATAAAATGGTTGTTTTCAGATGGAGAGACAAGAAAGATTAATTTCTTGTATCAAGGTGGGGTAGAAGGGTTCTTGGGCAGAAAACAATATAGTGCAAAAGGTGTCCTTTGGATCTCTTTGACTATGTGCACAAATACAAATAAATGCAACTCATCCCCAAGAAGTAGCCTGGTACAAAGAATTGAAATAACTCATATCCCTCAGTTCATGGTCTTTACCACAATTGGTTCATAATCATTTTCACCTTCATCACAAGGCACAGGACTGATATCAGAAAGCGAGGGAAAAGAGAAAGAAGTGAACAATCTGTATTACAAACCTAACTGATGCTAGCAGATTTTTTTATTCATCATCTTATTTAATTTCTACAACATCTTTTTGAAGTAGAAATTGTAACACTTGCTTCAGACCTAAGAATTGACCCACAGCTACACACTGAATTAGAGGTAAAATTAGGATACAGATCCAAGCCCAACTCCAATCCTTGCCTACTGCTGTGTACTCCAACTGTGCTTTGAGACACGATGAGATGTTTTCTTCATTTCAAAATGGGAGTTTTATATTTAATTGTGCTTTCTCCATTTGTCTTGCATTGCCATGAAACTGAAATGCGAACAGGCATGGAACATAAATATTCTCTCAAAAACTGTTATTGAGAGCTCAGCTGTCCTAGACTTTGAACTAGAACTAAACTGAACAAAGACTCTGCCTTCAAGGATCTTGCAGCATGGCACAGGCATTGTGGTTACTTCTTCCTTATCAAATCATCACTAGAGAAAGTAATATAGACTTCAGCTGTCTCTCTGTGTCCACTCATGCTCTCTGACACTGCTGTCCTTGAAACAAGATGCTTTGTGAGAAATGTTCGTGATGTAGGCAAAAGGAAGAAGCAATCTATTATCTCCTGAAGAAACTACACATGGCCATGCATGAGATTCTCCTAAAGGTTAAGTGGCTGAGTTCATTTTTAAGATATCAGCATAACAATTAATCAGGAAATGCAAAGCTGGTGACTTACCAAGTGTTATGGTTTGTGTCTGGATGTCCCCCCAAAACCTCATTCAGTCATGGGGCGGGCTTCTAGAGTTTATGATTGATCCATGGTCCAGTGCTGGGATTACGGGTGTGAGCGCTACACCCACCCTGGGGTGAGTAGTCTGCGTACAATATAAAGGAGGCAAAGAGGCTTGCTTGCTCCTCCTCTTTGGCTCTTGCTGCTTTTGCTATCTTCTGCTGCCATGAACTACTGCCCTCTGCCATGTGCCACTCTGCCTTGGAGCCAAGCTGACTAATGGGCTGAAACCTCCACAAACTGTGAGCAAAATAAACCTTTTTTTCCTTAATCTGAGGGTCAGGATGTTTTGTCTCAGTAATGAGAGAAGAGTAACGAAAACACCAAGTGAAAAGGCAATTTCCAAATTTTGTTATTCTCACGTGAACAAGAAGGAAGACATTGCAAAGGGGAAGAATATCTAATAATAGTGAAGCAGAAACCTGTTTCTCAAAGATCTTCCTTCAGTCAATTTGAGATCAAGCTGTTATCTGTACTATACTCCTTGGTAAATGAAATGATCATTCACTTATATACTGCAAGGGAAAAAAAGTAAGACCAGTCAGCACAATTCATAGGGATCCACAGATAATCTCTTACACAAAGAACACAGTAAGGTGATGGGAAGGAAGATAAGAAGAAAATGATGCCAAGCTCTGGGGTTTGGGGAAATAAATTCAAGACCCCTGGGACCTTAGATTCTCAAGTGATGATATCAGACAGTAGCAGGAGTCTGCTGAGTGTCCAGAAATGGGTGGGAAGTTGGAAAGGAAGACAAGAAGAAAGTACTATGGGCTTCCTGGATCTATACTCCATGACATGTGTGACTTTTCTCACATGCCTAGATGCTTATTTGCTTCTCTGTTTGTGGCTATAGGATGCCCCTGATGTGAGTTCTAGTAGGATGTGCAGATATGAGAACAAATTGTTGTTCCAGTTGATAACACACAGGCTTTGCAGTTCCTGCTTTAATATCATGCTGATATTTTCAAGATAAGCTACTTTTCATACTTTAGTGAAAATCTCCTCAA